GGAAGGCGGGGACCCGCCCCCTCCCGCTCGTTGCATCACAAGGGAGGGGAGAGAGGGTACAAAAGAAGTTTGTCCTCGGTGGCCTTTTAGAGTGACAAGAGTTCCTCCCCACCCTGGCAGTTTCTCTCTTACCCCCCACCCCTCATTCCTGGAAAGAGGGGCTTGGCACTTGCTTGGAAAATCTCAAGGAGGGATGTGAATGGATGAAAGATGAAGCGGGCAGGCGAGGGAGGCTTGATTCCCGGCCTGTGTCTCAGGTCCAGGGCTGGGGCGTTCTCCCCTTCTGCCCAATCGCCCCATGAATCTGGTGGAGGGACATAAAAATCCGGTTGTTAAGAAGGGAGGGGCACTTGGGGATAAGAGACGGGGGAGGGGACGGGAACTGGTCCCCTGGTTTCAGTTTCCAGGAGATGTCTGCAGAGGCACTTACTCAGTTCTTTGGCAACTGATTGATTGATGGGGCAAAAAGCTGCGGGTGCAGGGTGGTCGCAGTGGTGGATGGTGAATTTCGCCGTTCAAGGCAGTTGAGTCAGGAACGAAAAACCTGGGGAGCAAAACTTTGGTACATCTTCCGGGTCCCCTGAGGAGACACGTGGGCATTGTGCAAAGTTATCTGGAAGTCCTTCCACGGAGGGATCAGCAGCCAGCCTGATCCCAGCTGGAGGCAGGGCTGGGGAAGGACCCAACCGCTCTGCCTACTGGGCACAGGTTCTCCCGGAACCTGCTTCCAGGGGGTGGAGGATCTTCAGGTTCTGCTGTATAGGAGAGAACACAGCCATCCCTGTGCTCCCAGGGGCTATCAAAGGCCAGTGTGTTTGGTTAGAATATGAAGATAGATTATACCTATTGTGTAGGTGCACCGTCTGCCTGCTCTGATAAAGAGGTCTTTGAACTTCAAAGTCACCTCCGAACAATCACCTTTTATTTTGCAGAAAAGTACTTTCTCTTCTTGTTTGGAACTTAACAATGGGGGCTGTTGATGAGTTCATTCAATTGTATTGCTGTGAGGCACTGGGAAACCGGTTTATTCTGAGACTATGAGTGGCAGCCATTCAGCATTGTCACTGGAGAGGAGGAGGGGGAGAGGTTTGGGAATTTGGAAGGAGGAACTTTGTAGTTTGTGGTCCTACAGCTTCCAGTTTAATGCCTTCATCGTGATGGGTAAGCCTAATGGTGAGAACAGGTGTCGATGGAGTTGGTCTGGGTTTGATCCTCATACGAACACCTTGACTTCACTCATTTATTCATGCAACAGACATCTGAGTGGCTACTGTGTATCAGGCACCACGTTAGATACCAGCAGGTACAAAGATCAAGCCTTAGCTGCAGGCCTCAAAGTGCTTGTAATCAAACGAGGCGGAGAGACACAGAGGCAGGCACTGTGCATAGATGCTGTGATGGTGGCTTGTAAAAACTATAGCAAGCACATCCAGGAAAAGGAGCCCATACGGCTTCAGGTTGGAGAGAGGCTTGGGGGTTTGGGGATGTCATCTGATCAGAGTTTGTAGGATGACTCAGAGGTTGCTGTGTGTATCACAGAGGAAGGTGTTCCTGAAGAGATAAAAGCCCATTTATAAAGGTTTAGAAACCGGTTCTGGTGCATGAGGGGTGTTGGGTCCGTAAAGAGACAGGGAAGAAGAGGGAGGTGGGAGTGCAGGGGAGCCAAGGACAGAGCAGGAAGGACCGTGGCAAGGAGGAGATTATGTGGTCAAAATGTCATAATGCCACAAACATGTTAGGGAAGGCAGAGCGCAGAACTGAGGCACAGATGGTGTATTTGTCCTTTTCTGTTGCTTATGACAGAAACACCCGAAACTGGTTAATTTGTGAAAGCGATACTTGTTGCTTACAGTTTTGGAGGCTGGGAAGTCCAAAGTCCACATCACACATCTGGAACACATCTGGTGACAGCCTTGTTGGCGGGTAGCAACTCTTCACAGCAAAGCAGCGTGTCACATGGCAGACGGCAGAAGTAGAGAGAGCTAACCTCACTGGCTCTCCTTTTAAAGCCCTCAGAACTATGCCCATGACCACCATTAAATCATCAATGGATTAATCCATTTACTAGGGTGTGGTCCTCACAATCTAATCACCTCTTCAAGGCCACACCTTTCAATTACCGTGATAGGATTTCCCACTCTCTCAACTCCGTCACAGTGGGGGTTAAGTTTCTAGTTACATGGACTTCAGGGGTACGGGGAAGACACAATTCAATCCACAGCAGATGGGGAGACCAGGGGCAGGGGAGAGGTGACGAATGCCTGAACCAGGCTCGGCCTGTCCAGAATGACTCCATGTGGGGAAGAAGGGGGGAGGGGGGAATCAAGGGTGCATCTGGGTCTCTGGCCTGAGCCACTGGAGGGGTGGTACATGCACAGTTCACCTGTAAAGTAAATCTGGGCGAGAGGAGGGCAGAGGGTGTTGGAAATTTTGGGTCTAGTTTGGGTCGGGGCTGAGTGTGAGAAGCAGAGGGAGAAGCAGGGCTAGATCCAGGCAACTTTGTCACCACCAGCTGACCATTGATTCTGAAAATGTGACAGATCTAAGGCCCCTAGATACACCTAGGCCAGAGGGTTGAGAAGAGGGGACCCGTAGACTGCATACAGTCACAAACATGACACACAGAGTCTTAGGAAAAATGCAAGTTACTTGCTAACGTTTAAAATTTGAGAGATTTCACGTACAGACCCGGATTTCTGCTTTCTCCTGACACCTTTTTTCCCACATGGCAGTCATTGTCTGCAGCAGAGTTGAGCAGCCTTGTTTGGCTGTAGACCCCACCGAAGGCTTTGTTCATTTCTGTTACTTGCTGGGTGTTTAGTGAAGTTTCCATCTACCCTAATCTAGCTTATTGTCTTCAGTGAGGAAAGACACTTGTTCTCTGCTTTATTCCTCACAACATTCCTTGTGAAGAAGATTCCAGTTTACAGATGGGGAAACTGAGGCTCAGAGATCAAGTCACTCTCCCAGTATCATACAGGTGACAGCGACCAGAGCCGGGATGAGGATCCAGGTGTTCTGATTAAAGTGTTTGGCTTTACCTGCATCACAGCTGCTTTTCCCACTATCTCACTTGAGATTTTTAACAAGAGACGTTAAGATCTTATTTATAACTGTAACAAATATTTACTGAGCCCCTACTGTGTGTCAGGCTGAGTTATGTCCTGGGTTTTTATGTGGCATAGATTAGATGCTGCCCTCAAGAGGACCATACAGTCTGATGTAAGTCGGCTTTTGCTGGCCTGAGATTCTGTTCCTCAGTTAGTTTTGGGTAACCCGTGGGCGTGTCCCCAGGACTGGAACAGTGGTTGGCATGTAGTAGGTGATCTCAACACTGTAGAATGTTGAAAGAATTCTGCTGTGTCTGGCTGTGATTTCCTGGGGGCAGCCTCATTACAAATGAAAGGATATATAAAGCTGTTAGTAATGTTTCACACCTTCCTGAGAAAGAGAAGCTTGGGCTTCCTAGGTTCAGGTAGAAGAGGGAAACTTTGACTATTGAGGGCCAGCCCCGTCACTCACTCGGAGAGTGCGGTGCTGATAGCGCGAAGGCCGCGGGTTCAGATCCTATACAGGGATGGCCGGTGCGCTCGCTGGCTGAGCGTGGTGCGGACCACACTGTGCTGAGGGTTGTGATTCCCTTACTGGTCAAAAAAAAAATTATATTTATGAAGAACTAATGAAATCATTTCCTAATTTTAATTAATCAACCAGAACTTCTATTCATAGTAAGAAAGTTCTACCATTGTGTTGACAGAATTCCAGCCCCAAACAAAGAGACAAATCCATAATTAGCCTGTATGACTTCATTTCAGGAAAATGCACTACCGGGGTGAAACTTTTTTTTTTTTTTTTGTCTTTTGTCTTTTTCCGTGTCCAGCAACGGATCGCAACCCTCAGTGTTGCCCCCGTACCGGACCGGGGACCGGCAACGGGATCGCAAGCCTCGGCGTTGCTCCCGTGCCTCGCTCAGCCAGTGAGCGGGAGCCGGTCTGTATGTGGGATCCGAACCCTCGGATGGGAGCGCCGCCGCGCTTCCCAAGCGGCGCACTATCCAGTGCACCACCCGGGCCGGCCCAGGGTGAAACTTTTTAAACATTGGAAATAGCTATGGGTATGTCATCTCTAGCTTGGACCCTCTGGCCTAGAGATGGATGGTATTGAGTTCCCAACCTGAAGTTTGCTCTGGACTAGTGTTTAGAGTACCTCAGTGGAGTCCAGTGGGAAATTTCTGGAACCCGGGCCAGCTGTGGAGCTTGAGACACCAGTGGGCATAGGGGTCTTCACCCTAAGAGCAGAAGGTTTAGGCTCCTGCAGCTACTCAGCTGGTCATGTTTCTTGGATAGTTTCCATGATGATGTCAAGGCTCTTTCATCCCTGACATTTTATGCTTTGTTCAAGAAGATCTGGTCTCCACTTTCTTTAAGTTTCAAGCCTTTGCGTCCAAGGTGGTGGTATCTAAAAACAACAACAAAACGAGGAACTCGATTATCTTTTGGTTAACATAGAATGTTCCATTTTTTGCATTGGATCTAGAGCCAAAAGACATAGGTTCTCATCTCAGTTGTACCAAATACTAGCTGTGTGATCTTGGAAAAGTCAATTTCTCTGGGCCTCAGTTTCCATTAGTCTAAAATGAGGCAGTTAGACTACATCAGGGGAGATTAATAGGTTTCATCTAACAGATGAACTCTAATCAGTAGGCAGTGGCTGTCTCCAGAGCACTGTCTTAACAGGAATTCTGAGGTCACATCTAGGTTTATCAGGACAGAGGGGCATGATCCATTAGCAATGTCTGCCACTGTCACTGGTTGGGGGTGGAGAGAAGGCGTATTATTCTTGCAAAGAATAAACTTTAAGATCCTTTTGAGCATCATCGGATCATTGATTCTATTTTAGTGATTTAAGCATTTTTTTTTTATCGTGTAGGGGTTTGATCTTTTGCTGGAACAGGATCACACAGCCTTGATAACAGCCTTGTGGGGTTTTCTTTACTACAGGAAGATTGTTGACCGAATCGACAGTAATAGGGATGGCTTTGTCACCACCGAGGAGCTGAAAACCTGGATCAAACGGGTGCAGAAAAGATACATCTACGATAATGTCGCTAAAGTCTGGAAGGATTATGATAGGGACAAAGATGATAAGATTTCCTGGGAAGAATACAAACAAGCCACTTACGGCTACTACCTAGGTAAGAGGTGCTGTAGGAGCGATTACACAGCTGGGGCCCAACTGACAAGCTTCTCGCAAGAGATTCGCTTCTTATCATATCCACCCGCTTCGGAAAGATGTCACAACCTCCTAAGCAGAATCTGCTGGTGTAACATCCTCCTTTGTTACTAAGAATGTACTGAGTTGCTTACTCTGAGTGAAGGCATAGGGGAGAGATGCAAGGGACTAATAAAAAATCCCTTAGGTCATTGCCCTACTTGAACTTACAGTCTCAGAGGCACATACAAAGAAGAAAGCAGAAGGGAAGTGTATGTGTGGTACAGTTTCGAAAGGCTGCCTAATTTTGGATAGTAAAGATCGAGTAGGCTGGAGGAGTCAGGGAAGGCTTCCTGGTGGAGGCTCGCTTGGGAGCTGGGCCTTGAAGGATGGATTCATATTCAGAGAGATAAACACCTGTGGGGAAGGTAGGCCAGTGAGAGGGACAAAGGTGCAGCAACACATCAAGCAATGGGCAGGGTTTGGATATAAGACAAACTGGGCTGGGGGAATGAGGGAGGAGTGAGATGCAGAGGCACAGGGTTCTCACCTGCTGGGTGCGTGGCAGAGACAGTGAGGAGACAGGCCTAGGGAGGACTGAAGAGGTGGCTTCAAAGGACAGGTACTAGAGGCATTCTGAAATAAACTGTTTCCGAGAACTCAAGAGGTCAGGACCTTTTGTCCCAAGTGTACCATTTGGGCATGGAGGATGAGCGATCTGGAAGGGAGCACTTTCCTTAGCAGCACAGCTTAAACATTTCTGCGTTATGTCCTGCAGGAAACCCCACGGAGTTTCATGATACTTCAGATCATCAGACCTTTAAAAAGATGCTGCCACGTGACGAGAGAAGGTTCAAGGCTGCAGACCTCAATGGTGACCTGACAGCCACTCGGGAGGAGTTCACTGCCTTTTTGCACCCTGAGGAGTTTGAGCATATGAAGGAAATTGTGGTTTTGGTAAGATGAATGAAGAGCCTGGGCTGGGAAGTACCAGCGAGAAAACTGCCCTCAAATCTCATCCTTTCTTCCAAAGATATAACTTTTTCAGATTGAAGGGAATTGGAGAAGGACTCTGAAGAACAATGCTTTGGATACCTGTGTACCCAGGAAACTAGTCAGGGCGGGCCAGCTACGGTGACAAATAGCCCCCAGTTGTAGCCATTTAACACAGTCAAAGCTTGTGGTTTCTTGCTTATACAAAGTCTAGTACAGATAGTCCCAGCCAGGTGGATCTCTTGGGCAGTTCTCTAAATGCTGTCAGGTACCCGGGTTACTTCCATCTTGTACTCTTCCATCTTGTGGCTTCACGGTCAACCTGGCAACAACCAGCTGGTAGACAAAGGGAAGAGAGGGAATGAGAAGACACAGCTCGTCTTTACTGTTCTGGCCAGGAAATGACACATCCCTTCTATTTATGTTCCACTGGCCCCTCGTATCCACGAAGAGGCTGGGAAATATATTTTAGATATGTGCCCAGAAAGAGCAAATGGGTTTAGTGGCCAACTAGCTAGTCTCTACCTTATTTTTCAGCTGTGAGGGAATTAGAAAAAGACACAAATAGAATGCACTGGATCATTAAAACCATATGGAAACTTAAAGTAAAAATTCTGGCTGGAAAGGATTCTACCCTTAGGGATGGGTAGAATCCTTGGAGGTAAATGGATCAGACCCGACACTTGAGGGATGACTACGCTTGTAAGACTTCAGAGTGTAGTTGCTTTCCATAATGTCCTGTTGGGTCCCAAACGTCTTCACTTTCAACCACAATTAGATAAATGCCATCACCTGTTCCCTGGGCAGATGTCCTGAGCCAGTTCCAACTGCTTCGATGCTGGGAGACAGGTGGCCAGAGCGTTTGTTTATAATCAGCTCTTGATTATTTTAGTTACCCAGTTGGTGGATGAGTCCACTCTTGCCTCATACTTCAACCCCATGACCACCATGACCCTAAGGACTGAGCAGTGGCTCTAAGAATCATTTCTCTTTACCACCCTACATCCATTTAGTGATAACTAATTTGCCCGAGGACAAAAAAGATGGGGAATTATTCACATGTGGAATATGTGCCTTCAGAATTGCCTCTTTGATCTCAGGCTGATATTTTCTTTAATCCACAATACCTTTGAGTTGCCAGGCCAGTGGATAGTAAACTCATTTAATTATTGACCCTACCAAAAACCCAATTAAGAAGTCGAATACGCTAAATACAGAGTATAATACATTCAAAAGTCAGATATATATTTTTTTCAATTGTCCACTGTTTCTTATTTCTCTGACACTAACTCAGTGTTCATAGTCCAGGTAGCACTGGAATCTACTTTTGTGATTATCTGATCCAGTGATTTTCACACTGGGTTCCTCTCAGGTCTTCCAGGGGATGTTTTGGCAGAACGGTGGAGATGGTTGGCCTGGCCAGCCTTCCTGATATAAACAGAGCACCTCTGGGTTTGCGAGGTACATTTTCCTTCAAAGAGAATGTTCTGCTCTTGAAGTTGTGGGGTGCAGAGTAGGACAGAAATAACTGCCTATTTTTTACAGGTAAGAAACTAATACCCAGGGAGGTAAGATGAGTCAGAAATCACCAAGCATTCAGCCATAAAAGCGGGACAAAGGAGGACAGTAGAGTTCTCAGATTTACCCAGAGTACATGGCCATCTTGCATTCTGTTTGCTCCTTTGCTTCCTAGGAAACTCTGGAGGACATTGACAAGAATGGGGACGGGTTTGTGGACCAGGATGAGTACATTGGTGAGTGCTGCCCTGGAGCCTTGTTCAGCCATCCCAGCTAGGCAACATTCCTCCACCACATATCCGGCTGCTTTCCCCAGACGTCTTTTTCAGCAACAGCTGGAAGAATGTGATGTCACTCCTATGACCTCCCAGGGGGGAGGGCCTTCGGATTTGTCACACCAGCCCTAGTGTGACAACCTCATTCAGCAGGGAAGAGATGAAAAGGCCGGCCCTTCCACTAGGCTGGCAACAGTTGGCCCCACAGCTCTGGTGATGAAGGTGCCCTTCATCACGCTGCCTCATCTTACCTTTGCAAATGGGACTGGTGATCCCGTAGATTTACAGTGAAGCTAGCGCAGACAGTGTCAGGGGAAAGAGTCCAAAATCAGACTGTGGGTCATCGGGGCCTGGAAACTCTTGAGCAGATGCAGCTGTGATCGATGGAACTGTTTATATGCTCAAGCTCTCTGCAGAAAGACATTCCTTCTAGAGAGGTAAATCCTTTTACAAAGTGCACAATTGCCCAATAATACAGCCATTTTGTGCCTCTAGTTTCCTGTCCTTTGGTTGGGAGTACCATACCTTGCATTTTACTCTAAGGGCTCCACTTAAGCAACGTCAAAAAGTGCGTTTCCAGGTAACCTTGAACACTGGCTGAATGAGGCTCACATTAATGTACTGGGGTCGGAACCCACTATTGCTGCTTAGAGCCCTTTCGGCAGCCCAGTAGCCTCACAAGCATAAAGGACTGGAGCAGGCACCAAGGACATTTCCATATGATCCTCACCGGCTGCTATAGCACATGACTCTGACGGCAGGCTGCCGTCTCCCGACAGCTCTTCTTTTCCCAAGTCTCAATAAGGTAAAAGCTGGAAAATCGTTTGATTTAGGCATTGACCTACGACAAAAGGGACTGTATATATATCATTTTGGTACACATACTTAATAGAGGCAGTTAATTACCTTTAAATGTAAAACCAAAGCCCGAGTTGCCATCAGTCTGGTTTTGTGGTTTTATTACTTTGCCACCCCATATGCAAGAACAAGTGCCTTCAGTGATGACGAGCAAAGTCTCTTCTAATCATTAGAAATTGTATTTGTTCTTGAGGACTGAGCACTGTGTCATTGGTAGCAGACAGGCAGTTCTTGCCATGGTAATTAAAGTGATCTCAGTGGCACTACCTTTGCAGCATGGCGGATGCTGTCAGCTGCCTTGGCAGTGCAAGCAACAGAGCACTCCCCTTGCCGGGTGCACGTGCAGGGGGAGATGTGGTGATGGAATGACTGACAGAAAAGGCTGCCTGATTAAAACAAACAACGTAGCGCTTCTGATTAAGCATGCGTGCTCTTCCCGGCCCTCCTGAACTCTGCATTGAAATGGTGCAAAGTCAGTCGGGGGCAAAACTCTTTGAGTGGCTCTGCCTAAAGAGAAACATCCCATTCTTTATGCTGGGCAGGGGGTGGGTGGGGACATTGTGCTTGAAAATCAAATTCTGAGAGACTTGTAGTCCGAGAGACTCGGTCTATCAACTTGTCTAGCAAATGACTTCTCTTCATTTCTGGGGGAATCTTCTCTTCGGGCGGGGACAAGTGGAAAGGTGGCGGAGGTATGGTGTAGTGGGCAGGGCTCTGGAATTGGGAGCCCTGGTTTCTCCACTTACTCACTTTGTGACCTTGGGGGAGTCGTGTAATCGCTTTAAGCCTCAGTTTCCTCACCTGTAAAATGGTAATCAATAGCACCCATCCTTGCAGAATTAGATGAAGCTTGACAGCAGACAGCTTGTGTGTGTGTGTGTGTGTGTGTGTGTGTGTTTTGGCAGCTGGCTGGTAAGGGAATCTGAACACTTGACCTCGGTGTTACAAGGTTGTGCTCTAACCAACTGAGCTAACCAGCCAGCTCCAGATGAAGCTTGAGTTAGCTAATATATATGCCCTTTCTCAAAGACAATGTGCATGTCGGGTGTGGGTCTCCCTTGGAGCTTCCTTGTAGCCAAGGATCTTGCCTCTCTTCTCCCTTCACTCACTACCTGCTCCCTCTATCACCTGACACTTCCAAGCTGTGCTCCCATTAAGGAGAAACTGCCCACAGGGTATCTCTCTTTTCCAAGAAGACCTAGTGACAAAATAAGCAGTGCATAAACATTTCCTTCTTTTTCCTTTCCGTGCCATTTTGTAAAATGGGGACAATAATCTATCTTATAAAGTTGATATAAGGATGAAATAAAATGATATATGTGAAAGCCCTTTGGAAATGATATATACAATAGTAATAAACACAGTGGTTAGGACCATGGAAGTAGAGTCCCCATGTTCCTGTGTAGCCTCAAGCTCATACTAGCTGTGGGTCATTGGGTAAGACTATGCCTCAATTTTTTCATCTGTGAAATGGGAATAATAGCAGCACCTTCTTCATAGGGTTGTATGAAAATCAGATGAGAAAATGTATATAAAGCACGTTATACAGTGCTCAGTGTTGATCATTATTATCAGTTTTCACCTGTATAGTGCCAGTTTGGCTTGTAGAGGCTTTCCCATAGATGGCCCATTTGATCTTCATAATACCGTGTGATTTATAAATTATTATCTCCATTTTACAGACAAGGAAACTCAAGGCTCAGTCACTGAACCAAGTAACTTAATCCCAGTCACTGAACTAAGTCAAGAGCCAGGATTCACCATCTGGCTCCTCAGCACGGTTCTTTCTGTTCCATCAAGTGACCTTCAGAGTCAACAAATCATTGCATTTTATCCTGAAGAAACTGCCCACCAGCTCTTTGAGTTAGGTCTCTTGATCGGTCATCACCCTTTCAAAACCTCAGGAGGTCTAGTTTTTTTGGCTTTTACCTTCCCCCTTGTCTTCATAACCAAGAACAACCTTCCCTTCTAGCGGATATGTTTTCCCACGAGGAGAATGGCCCTGAGCCCGACTGGGTTTTGTCAGAACGGGAGCAGTTTAATGAATTCCGGGATCTGAACAAGGATGGGAAGTTGGACAAAGATGAGATTCGCCACTGGATTCTCCCTCAAGATTATGACCATGCACAGGCCGAGGCCAGACACCTGGTGTATGAGTCAGACAAAAACAAGGTATTTAACATTCTTCTGGAATCACTGGTGGAAGGGAGTCAGTTCACATAAGATTGGTTTCGTTTGCTTTTCTGGCGATAGCATTGGCCCATGTCCTTATTGACTTCTCATTCTTGCCCCACAGTTGTGACCTGTAAATGTGACCCAAAGCCATGATAACCCCCAGTGAGCCCACTAGGCCCAGACTTTCCTGGATAGTGAGCTACAGGCCACAGACTTACATGAAATCACATCTCCTAGGATTGTAGAACCAGTAACTTCGTTTGATGTGGGCAGAACATGGATTTAAGAGGCATACCCTGTATTGCCCTAGGACAGGCTTATTCACCCATGTGTTCAGTCACCAGATATTTACCTAACATCTGTGATGTGTCAGGCACAGGGAAGTCCATCCCGTTAAAGCCCAGACATCCTCAGGCAAGCTCACACTGCTGGCTCCAGTGCCCACCACTTCAATATTTATTGACAAACATCCAAATACATAAATCAAGATTTAGAAAATAGGACTCTGCCTCTTTCCACTTTGCTAATTGCCCCAAATTCTCAAGTTATGCCAACAGGTTATGCAATTAGGTCATAAAAAGGAAGTGAAATTCTTCTAGGCCTGTTGTGGGAATGCCAGTGCTGCTTGTAGACTTAAATGGATTCTAGCTTCTGAATTACTTGGGGACTTACCTGATGTACTTTAGCGCAGCTTTTTACAGCAGGAGGCTGTTCCAATTTTGAGTTTTGCAGTGCAGTAATGATAGATGAAGGAGGTACCCAGCAGCTTCTGAATTATTAAATGTAGTATTTAAAAGGTTGGAAATCAATGAAATAACGTGAGCATCATGCTGAACTATTGCTCACAGTTACCAGAGCTTCTATGACAGAGCTCTTTCCTCTCTCCTACAGGATGAGAAGCTAACTAAAGAGGAGATATTGGAGAACTGGAACATGTTTGTTGGAAGCCAAGCTACCAACTATGGGGAAGATCTCACAAAAAATCATGATGAACTTTGATAGGCACTCACCATAATATGGCAGACTGCCATAGGCTTTCTTTTATTGTCTTGGATGGTTGCTAAGTGTCCAATTGACAGTTGTTGTGTCCCCCAAAAAGCAAGTTTATACCTCAGATTGGGGTAAAAATGGTTTTTCACTGAAAATTTATTGGAAAATGATCATCAGTATTCTTTCAGTAAGATTTCTCTCACTTAAAACACAAAATCTTGGTAAATGGTAATTCTCTATGGGGATACATTGCTACAGCATGACTTAAGTTTTTTCCATTAAATTTAAACTAAAGGGGAATAAAACTTGAAAAAGCCCTGTCATTCAGCAGCTGGGTGGGTTGGTAGGGAGCTGTATGTGGAGTTACTGCTATGCATTTTAACAACCAGGTTTTTTTATAGTTGGCACTGTTGAATAGTTGATGAGGGAAAATTCTGATTAAACTAAAGTGGTGTCATACCAGGTAGGCTTATTTCAGAGCAAGTCTAATATTTCAGATTCTTCCTCTTGTCTTTATACGCTGAGCTGTTACTGTAAGAGGTATATAAAACCTCTGTGCATTTTTCTGTATGGATCTGCTAGTGTGCACAATAAATCCACATCTTTGTTTTTTGTTTTTATAATAAGAAGCAATCAAAAAAGATAATGTGAAAAAGAAAGGAATTTTAAAGGTAGGGAAAAGATGAATGTCAGACATTTGAAGAACTACAGGAAAATGCTAAACACTTTAAATATACTTGAGAAAATGTTCTCACATGTAAATGAAGTAGATCTGATCTTTGAAATACTGAAGAGAAATACCATCTGTTTCCTTGCTGATCCCAGTTGGAATGAGGTGGTGGGATCTGTGGGAAGCCACCCGTTGTGGAGTTCTGGAATGTGTCCCATCCAGTCCAGTGAATCCATGACCCTGGGACGTGCTCCCAGGATGGCTTACACCACGGAATTAGGACAAGATGATATTCCGAGCCATTGAATGAACTGGCAAAAACAACTTTCACAGGCTGAAATTCCACCTTGTAAGTAGGAAGTGAATGAAATAAAGGATCCCCCTGAGGATTTTCTACTGTGTCCTGTTGTATTTGACTGCACAGATTCTATGTGTGACATCAAGATTCATACAGAATTAAACAGTGGGATTGGATTTCACGAATAAGATTATAAAGGTTCTAGGGTTTTTTTTAAATCCAATTATTAGAATGTTCAGAATATACTTAGATTTACTAACTTAATAAATATATACATAATGTTCTTCTTTCTATATGCAGTTAGGGAATCTGCACGTCATTTTAACTGTAGGATTTTTCTGGGACAGGTTTCAGTTGGAAAATCCATACATCTTCCCAGGGCCTATGAGGCCCTGTAGGGTGTGGTCCCGACCCACTTCATCAGCAGCATCTTCTAATCACTCTCCCCTTCATCCCCCTGTATTCTAGCTCCACTGACTTCCTTCTGGTCCTCAAACACACCAAGGTCATTCCCATGTTGGGAATTCCCACGTTGTACTTGCTGTCCCCAGATTCAGAATACCCATCTCCCTTATTCTTGGGCAGCTCATATCATACCTCCTCAGTGAGGACTCCCAGACCCTACTGTTTAAAGTAGTTCCCATTTGCATCCCTGTCTCATCCCCATTTTATTTTCTTCTTGGTACACATTACCATTTAAATCGGTTTTCTAAAGCTACTGTACAAATTACCATGAAGTGGGTGGTTTACAAAGACAGAAACTTGCTCTCAGTTCTGCAGGCCGGAGTCCAAAATCAAGGTGTCAGTGGGGCTGCGCTCCCTCTGAAGGCTCTACGGGAGATGGCTTCCTTGATTCTTCAGTTTCTGGTGACTCTAAGAGTTCCTTAGCTTGTGGCGGCTTTATTCCGCTGCTACATCTCTGCCTTGGTCTTCACATGGCCTTTCCCCCCTTTCTCTGTGTCTCTTCTTGGTGGCCTCTCATAAGGACACTTGTGGTTGGATTTCGGGCCCATCGGGATAATCCGGGATGATCTCATCTTGAGATCCTTAACTAAATTAACATCTGCAAAGACCCTTTCTCCAAATAAGGTCACATTCACAGGTTTGGGAGATTAGGAGGGGGATATATCTTTAGGGGGGCCACCATTCAACCTACCTCACCACATGGTATTATCTTGTTTGTACATTGCCCATCTCCTCCAAGCTAGAGCATAGGCTGCATGAGAGCAGCTGTCTGGTCTGTCTTATTTCACTGCTGTTTGCCAGGACCTAGAACAGCAGGCTCTAACTCACACTAAGTGCCCATTAATTATTTGCTGAATGAATGAGAGGTTGATAGTTTTAAGCAAAGGGAATATTCCTCAGGGGAATATTAGAATGTTCAGAATATACTTAGATTTACTAACTAAATAAATATATACATAATGTTCTTCCTTCTCTATGCAGTTAGGGAATGTTTTTTATGTAAAAAACATAAAAATAGCAAACATTTGCTGAATAGGAAGTTAAGCAATTTACTGAAGATTCCATAGTGATTAAATGGTAGAGCCAGAACTCAATTTCAGTTGTTCCTGGCTCCCAAATCTCTGCTGTTTAGCATTAAGTTATACTGCTTCAAATCTCTGAATTTCATGTTTTCTCCTCTTTTCTTTGCTCACCCACAGGATATGATTATGTGGTCAGGAAATGAGAATCAATTCCTCTTACCTAGAAAGAGACTGACACGTTTTTTTTTTTTTTTTAAGCAATGAAAACCTGTCCCTTAAAAAATAAGAAAATAATATCCTATAACCTAATTATAAGTACACATTTTTAAAAGGTGCTAACATTATCCTCCTCCCCCCAAAAAGGGAACACACAGTAAGACATTAAATATATTTGGAGCGTTAAGTTTTTCCTTTCAAGTCAGTGCACATGTGAAAAGTAACCCTCAAAGAGACTGGAGCTTCTGGGGCTGAATTTAACACTATTTAAAGAAAGAAAACCTTAGCTAGGGGACATAACTGTTAACATGGTGATTTGTAAAGCCTTAGATTTCTAATAAGGTCTGACTGTTTCAAGGAAAACATATTTTGTTTCTAGGTAACATTTCAAGTCTGATTATGAACAAATGTTACAAAATTGATCTGTAATGGGAAATACTGTAATGTCACAAAGCATTATTTAATGCTAATGTGACTGAAAGCATTAATTGCTGGGAGCCATAGTCTGTCCAACCAAAACATGAACACACATTTCCTACCTCTTGTCTCCTACTGTAGGTTTTCAAATGAATTCAAGTGTAACAAAAACATAGTTAGAAAAATCGGTAATACCTGAAGGTTTCCTTCACCTGCTTGGATTACTGTAGTTGTGCCCTTGTTAGCAAATGCACGAGTCATATCTGCTCAAACGCCCAACAAACAGTAGCTTCGTGGCTACTTGTTAGCTGCTCAACTAAAATGTCTTGTGGAGTGAAGTAGTAAATGGCTAACTGGCTTTCTTATTTATTTATTTATTGTTTAAGTCTCTCTAGATTATTTTGCCACCTTTATAATAAAATCCCGGCTTCCTCTAAGAACATGCAATGAGATTTGGCTCTCTGTAGTCTTAAAATGAGTTTATGGTGCTAGAATTTCCCACTAACAACCAATGAGTGCCATAATGTTCATAGCTTTGGCTCACATGGAAGAATTAAAAATTTGAGCACTGGAAAGACTGTGTCATCAGTACTTTAACTCATGAGATTTATATGAACTTGGGGCTATTTACAAAGAAGCCATTCTGAGTCTCAATTCTGGTCAGCCCCATGTTCTATGACCAGGGACACATACCCCGTATAATGCATCCCTCCACTCCATGTGCTTTACATACCTCTATGATTTTTCTCATGTAAAATAGAAAACTGTCTGATTCTCCAAAGAAGCACATCAAAGAAAATGAATGTAAGGACTGGCTACTTCCCTACCTTGAAGGTGTTTGTATAGTGGGTGCACATAAGCATTTCATTTCTCCCAGGATAAATGCTAATAGCTGTGTACCAGGCACTATGCCAAGTACTTACATGTATGTCTCACGTAATCCTCACAACAGCCTTATGAGTTTGGTTCTTGTAATAAAGAGGATAAGCTGGGTTTTGCTGCAGTAACAAATAACCCTCAGTGGTTTAATTTTTGCTTGTGCAAAGCCAGCTGTGGTCTGGAAAATTGTCTGTGACAGCTGCATTGTGGGGGCTTATGAGCATGTCTCCACATCCACTGGAGAGCCAAAGGCAGGCAATCAAAGCTGCCTCCTGAAAGTGGCCCGTGTCACTCTCACTCACTGACAGTTTTAAAGCAAGTCACGTGGCCACACCTAACTTCAAGGGAGCAGGCAAGTACAATTCTACTGTTGCTCAGGCGGCGTCTGTTGAAAACAGTGGTGAGCAGCATGTGCGTTTACCACAGTACTATTCTCCCCTTCTTACAAATCAGGGAACTATAAGGAGAAGTAATCCCCAAAGTTACACAACTCATAAGTTAGGTGAGTATATAATTGATTGTCCAGACCAGGACCCCTTTGCCAATGAAGGGGGACAGTTATAACAGTATCTCCCTAGCTCCTGGGCAGCCTGCCATGCCCACTTCGGGATTTAGAAAGACCCATTCCATTCCTCCTCTGGCTATGCTCTTCCCCATGGGTTGAGGAGTCCAGAGGCCAACAAATTTTGCTGTCTTGGAGCCAGTGCCTCCCCTTTCTAGACCATGCTCCAAGTCTCCATAGGACCCCAGAATTCCCTGCTCAAGTGACCCCAAGCCTCTTCCAGAGGCTGGGTCAAGTCTCTTCCCTAGGTATATCTTCCAAAGGGTGGGCAAAGTGACAGGTGTACGCTCCTCTAGACCCTAAGGATAGCCAAGGGACAGCTGTCAGGTTGTGGACTAAGTCTGAACATGTAGACTGGGATATACACACACACTGTTAGGGTTTGAATGTATGTGTCCCCCCCAAATTCATATGTTGGAACCTAAGACCCTATGCGATATGAGTATGAGGTGAGACCTTTAGGAAGTGATTAAGTCATGAAGTCTCTGCCCTTATGAGTGAGATTAGCATCCTTATAAGAGGGTTCAAGGGAACTAGGTGGGCCCATTTTTTGCCCTTCTATTCTTCTGCCATGTGAGGACCCAGCAACAAGGTACCATCTTGGAAGGAGAGAGCAGCCCTCATCACATACCAAACCTGACAGCCCCGTGATCTTGCACTTCCCAGCCTCCAAAACTGTGAGAAATGTTTCTATTCTTTGTAAGTCACTCAGTCTAAGGTATTTTGTTATAGCAGCAGGAACAGACTAAGACACACACCTACATGGAGCTTGTTGATAGGGAAAAAATGGTGGAGGACCCACGGACTGTTTTCCATTTTTATTCCAACCCTGAGTCCCAAAAGTATTAGGGGAGAGAGCCTGTGATGATGCTGGGACAACCAGGACTGTCCTGAGAGAACCGAGATATGTGGTTCTCCTACTTACAAATGTAGATCTGGGATATAAATCTGTGTCTCTCTAAGGGGAAACCCCACTCCACTCTCTTAGTCACCCCACCACGTAGCCTTCAATACTTGCACTTCTTGGTGAAACCATCACTACTATCACCATAATTTCAAAAAATTGGTGGCAGAGCATGGTGTAATTTGAAATTTCAGGACCACTTTGTGATTTTTTGGTTGTGTTTTTTGTTTGTTTGTTTTTTGTTGTTTTTTGTCTTTTTCGTGACCGGTAAGGGGATCGCAACCCTTGGTGTGGTGTTGCCCGCACTGCGCTCAGCCAGTGAGCGCACCGGCCATTCCTATATAGGATCCGAACCCGCGGCAGGAGCGCCGCTGCACTCCCAGGGCCGCTGCACTCCCAGGGCCGCTGCACTCCCAGGGCCGCTGCACTCCCAGGGCCGCTGCACTCCCAGGGCCGCTGCACTCCCAGGGCCGCTGCACTCCCAGGGCCGCTGCACTCCCAGGGCCGCTGCACTCCCAGGGCCGCTGCACTCCCAGGGCCGCTGCACTCCCAGGGCCGCTGCACTCCCAGGGCCGCTGCACTCCCAGGGCCGCTGCACTCCCAGGGCCGCTGCACTCCCAGGGCCGCTGCACTCCCAGGGCCGCTGCACTCCCAGGGCCGCTGCACTCCCAGCGCCGCACTCTCCCGAGTGCGCCACGGGGTCAGCCCTCAGGACCACTTTGATGAGATGCAGAGTTGTTGGCTCAAATGCCTGACTGGATTCAGGTTCCAACTCTGCCACTCAGGAGTTCTATGATCTCAGCAGAATGCCTTCCTCCTGGAGAGACTGTTCTGACTGTACAGTGGTGTAATAACAATAATAATACCCAACTCTCAGAGCAGTTGCACAGATGAGGCAAGATGATGTATGTGCAAGAGCACTGAGGACTGAAAAGTGACACACAAGTGAAAGGACTGCACCATGCTGACCTTCCGGAGAAGGTCATCTACCAGAGGTCAGGTGGATCGATGCCTGCAAACACCAGGCTCCTGGTTAGCAGTCTTTCTGAGCTTTAGAATTACTGTGTGAAGTGTTTTTAAAACCTCAAAATTGATCTATTACTAGGTGAAATTGAATGGCCTCCATGGCAAAAGAATAGCACTTGGCATAGTTTTATTATGGTGAAAGCATTCCAAAGCTATTTTTATGTGGTAGGGATCTGGAACACAATTCAACAGCAGGTCAAGTATCTTCATACATTCAAAAAACATTCAGGAATCCAACTGGAGAAGATCACTAGGGATCATATTTTCCAGATGAGGAAACTGAAGCCCAAAGATATTAAACTCGAGGTTTTTCCTTTCACTTTGAGGGGGAGGCACAGCCTAAACTAACCCCTCCCCCGACTCCAGTTTTCCTCTTTAAAGCCTCAACGTTCTCATCTGAAAAATGGTGATAATAATACTCACCGTATAGAAGAGTAATAAGGATCAATTAAGGTATTGACCGTGAAGCATTTTATGTAGTCAGCACTCAGTAAATGGCACTCATTTTTATTATGATTTTATTACTGATTGAGGTATGGATTTAAAAGAAAAGTGGCAAAGGTTTGTTCGTTTGTTGTTTTAAACATATGAAAGAATGGTGGGCTTACAGTATCAAAGTTCGCATCATAAAAAAAAAAAAAGCAGCTGAGGACATTAATGAGTCATACAAGACTAATGATCCCAAACCATGGGAAGTATGTGGCTGTGCTGGTGAGACATTGGAGATAAAGAAAGACGAGTGATGTACAGATCTCACTCAGTTTGTTGATAGCTAGTGAATGGGGCTCCTTTCAAGGAAGGGGACTGCCTACTGTGGTAACAGGTTTGCCTGGGTCTGCAGAGAGACAGATGGGGAGGTTGAGAACACGGGCTTCGGAGTCAGATGGGCTCACTTAGGCTGATTACTTCCAATCTACAAACTTCATTTTCCTTTCCTGTAAAAGGGAGGTGGCTGTGAAGGCCCAGTGAGACAATGTATGTTGAGCACTTCATCCCAGGCCTCATGCAAGGAAGCACTTGGTCAATGGGGCTGGACGACTGTTAAAAAAACGTTTAAGGAATTGACATTTTAAGAGCAAAAATAAATGCTACGGCATGAAAAGAAATTTGGAGAATAATCTAAACTTTATGGCATGCATAATTCCATGTACAATATGTACAATTCACACTGAAGCCAAGCTCATCAGCTTCAGGAGGCCCCTCCGGAAGTCTTCTGGAAGTCCTGTTGGCTTATTGGTGGCTGGATTCACAAAGACATGGACTGAAGACCCAGTGGTACAGGCCAAAGTGTCAAACTGTGCCAAGTTGGGATGGCCAAAGAAGAAGCCATCACTGATGTCACAGTAACCTACTGAAGGCGGCTCCTTGGTGGGGTTAGGTGGAAACAGAGCAAGTCGGTAATGCACACTGGAGTGACCCACTTTCTCCACAGCCAAGGCAGCCACTGGGATCTGAGGGAAGCCAATGGGCATATGGTACGTGCACTGATTGCTCACCATGAACCCCACTATGGTGGACATCCGCAAGCTGGTTTTCAGGCCACAGTACCTAGAAGGTAAAATCACAAAGCTTATTCCAGGTCACCATGACTGGGCTCTCTCCCAGCCCAAAGGCAGTATGTTTCAGTGGTAGAGGGCACTAGCCTCAGAGGACCTCAAGTCAAATTCCTGATCCACCACCTACTAGGGAAAGTTACTTAATTTACCCATGCCTCAGTTTCCGCAACAATATAATGCTTATAACCATTGTATCTATCTCGTGGGTTGACTGTGAGAATTAAATGATGACTGTATCCCATTTTATACATTTTTTTTTGACTGGTAAGGGGATCACAACCCTTGGCACAGTGTGGTCCGCACCACGCTCAGCCAGCGAGCGCACCGGCCATCCCTATATAGGATCCGAACCTGCGGCCTCGGCACTCCCAGCACCACACTCTCCTGAGTGAGCCACAGGGCCGGCCCCCATTTTACACATTCAGAGTTACTAAATGTAGTAAGTTCTCATTAAACACCGGCTATTATTAATACAAGTATAATTATGTCCATCTCATCCTTTGTTCTCATGATGAAAAGTCAGGTACTTCTGTGTTAAATGAGAGAGAAAACTCATTTATTAGAGATAATAAGTTATTGTGTCTCTTATCTGTACTACTAGATTTTAGTCTCTTTAAGGACAAGGGCTCTGTCTTGCTCATTTTTTAAGTTTGTAGAATAGAAATGAGGTGGCACTTGAGATAAAACCTGGAGGATGAACAGAATCAGAAATAAAAAGAATAGTGCTGAGTTACAGCCCCTCCTCTTCTCTCCACCAAAGAGGCCCCCATAGGATTTAAATATTTTAATCACATTGTCTTATTGTCTTCTTTTCTTGAAGAAATTAAGATTGCATGTGAGGATTCACTGTAAAAGACAATTGTGGGTTGTGTAAAGATTTGACTACAGAGTTGCTCACTGAAGCATCATTCATGGAGGGGAAACAGAAACAAGCTACAAGACTGCACTCAGGGAGGGCATCATGAGTGTCTGGGGTCCAGCCACCCTCAGAATCCACCAGTGTCACCCACAGTGACATTAGATTCCTTCACTTATTGACATAGAAAGACGTTCAGTGAAAAAGATAAGGTTACAGAACAGTAAGGATTACACCATGTGATCTCATTTGTTATACAAGAACATACTGATTTAGCTACATATTACCTAGAAAAAAACTTCTAAAGGATAGACTGCAAAATATTTTCAGTAGTTACCTAGCAGTGGAATTTTGGATAATATTCTTCTTTTTACTGTATGAATTTTCCAAAATGAACATGATTTGCCTTTGAAATATGAAAAAATGTTATTTGTTAAAATGACAAAGTGAATTTCATTATATAAATTTTTTAAAAAGCACTCGTGAGATAAACAGGATGGATAAAGGAGGCTTTTTCTTCTGCCCACTAGGATCCCACCTCTGGATTCCTTCCCTAAGGAGTCTTCCCATAATTACCGTGAGAGGGTGTCTTAGTCTGCTCAAGCTTCTATAGCAAAACTAGCATAGACTGGATGACTTATAAACAACAGAAATTTATTTCTCACAGTCCTGGAGGCTGGGAAGTCCCAGGTCAAGGTGCTGGCAGATTCTGTGTCTGGCGAGGGCCCGCATCCTAGTTTGTAGATAGCCATCTTTTCACTGCGTGCTCACATGGCAGAAGGGGGTGAGAGAACTCTGCGGGGTCTCTTTTCTAAGAGCACTAATCCCATTCATGACCTAATCACCTCTCAAGGTCCCACCTCCAAATTACCTCACATTGAAAATTAGGTTTCAACATATGAATTTGGGAGAAGACACAAACATTCAGCCTATCGCAAAGGGAAAAGGGAAACGTGAAGAGAAAAGCCTTGCATTTCAGTGCGATTCCAAGAGCCAGTGAGAACCAGATTCTCCTGTTCTCATTCACCATGCTTCTCTGTTGCTACTGCTGTTCTATTCTCTGCCACATTTTCCTCTTTCTTTTAGAGAGCAGACGGTAAAGAAATAGTGCCTCTTCCTGCCAGGAGAGCAATATTTCATGAGGTCCCTGTTTTCTGTGCAAGCTCAGCCACAACACTTTTAAAAAATTGAAAGCCATGAGTACTTTTAAGCAATGCCTTCGACTGAGCACCTGGTATGTGTCAGGACTGTCGGTCCTTTACATTTTATATTCAGTTTTCAAAACAACCCGGGAATGCAAGTCTCATTTCCACCACTTACAGGAAAGAAAATAAAGCAGAGAGGTTGAATTAGTTTCACAAAGGCATGTAGTAAGTGCTAGGCTTGGACCCAAACTTTGGGCTCTCCAGATGTAAAGTTCACATTTTCTCCCCTATTCTGGATTTCTAGATGGTGAAACCAAAATCTACATTTTAGTCCAGTGGATGAGTTGCACTTTCTTTAAGTGTTTGTGTGACTTTGGAACAGCATCATCACGTTTGGACAACACACTCTACGTTTGCAAGTTCATAACCCAATTTGATTTGGTTGGTGGTAACAACAGAGGGCTCAGTGAAATTTTTTCTATTGCTTCTTTTTTTTAGGTTTTAACTTTTATCAAAGTTTATATATATGTACATACTTTTAAAAAGTCAATTAGTTGCTCAAGGCTTATTACAAGAACAAAAAAACCCCAGCAGTTTTCTGGCCGATAATACCTTTGGTTATAGTTTAGGTCAAGTAGTTCTTAGAATGAATTCATTCACATTCAACAACCTCTGTTGTACACCAGCTCTTTGTGAGATGCTGAAGATACATCTTTGAACAAGAGACAATTCCTGGCCTTAGTAGGGTGGCAGGGGTGGGAGGTGTCAGCTCTTGTCTTCCCTTCAGCAAGAAGAAGATGCTAGCTGTGTCCCTTTTTGGTCACAGAGGAGAGAAAAGTCAGGCTGACCCCTTCCATTTTTTTCTCCTTCTCCTCCTTCTCTTCTTTTCTTCCTTTCCTCAAACAACATTTATTGTTCATATACTACATTTCAAGCTTGGGCATGTGCGGCCTTAGTCTGAGAGGAGGCAATCATCAGATGCAATCACAACGCAGCGAGACAAATGCAGTGCCAGGGAAAGTGCAGGGCTCTGCAGGATTGCAGCGGGGCGCCGAGTCGGTCTAGGAATCAAGGAAGACCTGAGAAGTGACAGCTAAGCTGAGATGTGAAGAAAATGTAGCAGCTATCCAAGTGAACAATAGGAGAAGAGTCTTCCAGGAACAGAAATGGTGTGTATGAGGGTCCAGAGGCCAGAGAGAGTAGGGCACATCCCAGAGATGACAGACGTCCTAGATGGCTGGAACACATACAGTCAGAGAGGGGTGGGAAGGAGGCAGTAGCCAGGCTAGGAAGGGTCTTGTTAAAGAATTTGGATTTTTATCCTGGGGCAGTGGAAAGCCAGTAAATGGGTTATATGCAAGGGAGAGGCAAGATAGGATTTGTTCAGTAAAATGATCTGTGGCTTTGAATTGAACATTAGGTTACAGTGGAAGCAATGTCTGCAGGGAGAACAGTTATTCCTAACAGGTCCTGGCAAAGATGATGGCAGCTTGGACTCGAATGGTGACAACAGAGATGGAAAAAACTAGGTGGAATCAAGAGAAATTTTCAGAAGGTATGGTGATAAATTAGAGTGAAGGGAGGATGCGCCGGGATGACTCCCAGGCCCAGACGACATACTTATGATTCCATTTGTGAAAAGAGGGAACGTGGAGGAGAGGCTTGGGGTGAGGGCGGGGAGGGAAGGTGATGAGTTTAGTTTTGAAGAGGTTGACTTGAGGGGCCTGTGAGCGTCTAAGAAGAGGCAAACACGAGGCATAACACCCCTCACCTGAATGTATCAGGCCTCGGCCACATGCCAGACCTCTCGTTAAGCTCGCAAACTGGATTACCTCACCAGGAGGCATTTGGATATAGGTGTCTGAGCTCAAAAGAGAGGTTGGGCTGGAGACAGGAGTTGAGAGACTGAATTCAATCTCACTTCAAGGTCCAGGCAGGTAATGGGAAGGGCCAGAGCCGGCCAGGTGTGGTACAATCCGGTGCAGTGGGCCTGCGGGGAGCTGGAAAACAGATGCCCAGTCTGACTCCAGACGAATCCAGACTTTAAAAATACTGGGCAGACTAAATCAAACCCACGTGTGGCTGCCTAGGTTTGTCTTTCAGGCTCCCAGTTTGTGACCTCTGGGAGAGATGGTAACTAAAGCATGGGAGAGGGGGATACCTCCTAGGAGAGAAGATAGAAGGAGATGGACTTAATTAAGCCCAGAGTTTCAGCCTTCCACCTAGAAAACTGGCTTTGAATAAGCTCCCTGTTGATGATTTCTTGGCATGTAACAAGTGACTGATAAAGCATCTGATTTTGATGCTGTCTAATCATCATGTGAGGCGAATGTCTATCTTCCATGCTTTCTGATTTAGTAAACTTTAAAACGAAGGACGGTTAGCATTGGAGGACCCTGGGGATGATCATCTAGGGGCTCGCAACACTGATGTGGATCAGAATCTCCTGGGGAACCTGTCAAACATACAGATCCCCAGCATCCTCCCAGACCTCCCAAATCAATCTGCAGGAAAGGGTCCAGTCTTTATTTTAACAGGCTCCCCAGGTGATCTAACACACACACCTGAGCATAGGAGGTTCTCCTCTAGGGCTACCCCCTCACATAAGGAAAGAGCCCAGAGATGGAGTAAGTTGCTCACAGTCTCATGGCTAGAAGGTGCAGGGTCTGTCTACACTCTGCTCTTCACGCCAGCCCCATCAGCTGGGTCCATTAATCTCCCTGCCCCCAGACTCAGCCCCAACCCAGGCTTGAGGACCAATGAGTCTCTGAGGCATTTGTGGCTCAGAACCAGATGAACAACGCCCTGATCCTGTCCTGACTGTACCCAGCTCCAACAACGGGCTCGGTCTCACTTTCTCCCCTCTCTCCAAGTTCCTGCCTCCTTCCTTGGGTCTCGAAACTCGGTTCTGCCTGGACCCCTGTGCTAAAGCCTGGCCTTGGTACCTCCCCAGGCCCTGGGTGCCTCTGGAGCAGGAGGCATGTGTGCACA